CTTGATTTATAACAAAGGTGCCACTGAAGAGCAATGGAGAAACAACGGCTTTTTCAATAAATGGTGCTAGGTCAATTGGCCATCCATATGGAAAAATCTGAATCTTTATCTCTACATCATATTATATATAAAAATCAATTCCAGTGGATTGTAGATCTAAATGTGGAAAGAAAAAATAATAAACATCTTTGAAGACAATAAAGGAGAATATCTTGAGTTTGAGGTGAGTAAAGATGTCTTAAACAAGATACAAAGGAACTTGGGTAGGTGAAGCCTCATTGTGCAGGTGGTTCAGAATGAGAAAACTCGTAAGTCAAAGTCCTTGTCTAAGTTTTCTCCCATAAAGTTTCACAGCCTTAGAACATTTTTAAAATCTCAGAATGTTCAGTCTGAAGCATTCCAAAAGAGGGAGAAATTTCCCATGATGCTCTTCATGGAAAGCATCTATGTCTAGGCTACTTTTATAGAGGTAGTAACTCTGATATCATATATAGTGATTGTTGACTATGTGCCAGGCACTGTGTAAAATACTTTGCAATCATTTTCTTATTTACCTATATTTCAGCCAGTTGATGCCTGCAAGTCTGTCACCATGGAAGTCACAACACAAGAAAATATACCTTTCAATCTTTCTCTGCTACCTCCTCCTTTAATATCTAAACTTTTTAATTTATAAAATCAAGACTCAAAGAATTAATCAAGAAATGTCTAAGCAAATGTTTTGTACTGTATTGTTTTATTCAATTTACAGTAAACCTTAATAAGAATTTGATAACTTTAAACTTACAAAATATATTCCAATTCATTTCCTTATAGAATCTCTATGAAATAGCTATGGCAGGCATTGTAATCCCCATTTTCCATATGGGTAAACTGAGGCATACAAAAAACTCCTATTAGGGGCTGGAATCCATGCTAAACATTGTAAGCCACATCCAGCACGAGTGGAGGAATTGGCTAGTTAGTTTTGCAGAGGCATGCTCAAGTGAAGAATGGAATTATTGTATCTGGAATTTCCTCCTTAGAAGTAAGTAAGTGGAGAGGATGGGGCAGGAGCATGCTGAGCCTTCGCTTCAATTACCCTAGCTGAGAACCTGCTCACCTCATTCCTAAATGTGGTCCTCCTGTCTCTAGCTTTCCTTGATTCCACACAGCTCATGGCAACACTTTCAGATTTATCTGTCTATAACAGAGCTCTGATATGTCACTTCCTTGCCCCTAAACCATCAACATCTCTTCACTTTTTTAAAAATAGTGTTTGTAATCAAAGTCCATCAGAAATAAATCTTAGCTCAAATTTTAATTTTCTTAGCTCAACAGTAGCACTTACTAATTCAGTATTTTTGGTCTACTTACTTAACTTGTCTGAGCCTCAGTTTCTTTGTCTATAAAATGGGGATAAGACTAGGGTTGATGAGGGGGGTTGTAAAAAGAGATATTTTAAGTATAATGACTGAGTGCATTGATGTGCTGGTTTTAAAAGAAAAAAAGAACATTTGATTCAGTTAACAATAAAAGCTTTCTTTTTTCCCCTTTCTTTCTCTTTTTTCTTTTTAGATCTTGCTGTGCATCAGTTCTACGTTCGCACTTTTCATGCAGGCCATTATCAAATCTGCACAACTACCCCCTGAGGTTAGAATTACTATTTTCTGCATTTTTATATACACAAGGAAACTGAAACTCAGAGGTGTCACCCAGCTGGTAAATGGTAGAATTTAGTTTTCAACTCATATCTCACTGAGTTTTAAATTCATACTCTTCATTGCTATACTGGGGCCATCAACATCAAAGTCACCTGGGAGCAGGAATTGCAGAAATGCAGAGCTCTGTGCCCTCGTCCAGACTGTGAGACTTCCAACAGAATCCATTCTCATCTTTTTTCTTGGTGGCTGGGAAAATGGCTATGTAGCTAGAGTCTATTTTCCCTGTCCTTTTTGTAATTAGATTCAGTCATGTGACAAGTTCTAGCCAGGGCAATGTGAGCAAAAGTAACAGATGCCAACTCTAAGCCAAGGTGAGTAATGAAATAGATGCATTTTCTCTAGCCCCTCCCACTGACTAGAACCTAGACATGGTAGGAACTTGATCTTGACCAAGGAGAGGAGGACAAGTTTATAGAAGTCAGAGGAGCCTCATGATGGGAGAAACCTGAGTCTCTACAACTACCCTAATCTTGGTCACTTCAGAAGTAGAAGTCATTTATTGGGCACATAAATCTATAATTTGAGCAGGGATTGATGGGGATGGCACCACGTGGGAAAGCTCCACTGGACTAGAGAGTCTACTTCTGTAGTGAATCATGCCCATGGTAGGAAAGTTGATTCCAGCTCTCAGCCTAAAGCCTAGCTGGGGCTGACTACCAGGAACCTTAGCTCTTCTCCACAAATGCTGCTTCACAGGCTTCTGGGCTCCCAGCATGGTAGTTGGGTTTCAAGAGTAAAAAGCAGAAGTCTATAGTCTCTTAGGGGCTATGCCCAGAAACTAGCACAGTGTCACTTCCACAACATTCTGTTGGTCAAAGCAGTCACCAAGACTGTGCAGATTCAAGAGGAGGGGACATCAACCTCATTTCTCAATGAGAGGAGTGTCAAATACATGGCCATCCTCAAGCTGCCACATCTCATGAAGCAAGTATACCTACCAATAAGGAACACTCACTTGGATTGTAATGTGTGTGGGAGAAGTAGGTTCTGTGTTTTCTAAGTCATGCTATTGTGGGGCCATACAATATCTTAGCCCTTTGCCATGACAAATACTCCTAGTGAATCAGAATGGAGACTGGCGATAAAGAATCTACGAACAAGCAACTTGATGGCTTCATGCATTCCAGAATTTTAAAGCCCACTCTGCTAAGCAACATGGCTACTCCATTCAGTTTTTGACCTCCCAGGGACTCTGAGATAGATAAGCTCTTTTATCTGATTGCTCATGGGATTCACATCTTCCAACAATCTCTCCAAAAGTTTAGCCTGAAGATTCACCACCTCACTAAATCCCACTTGGAGATACTCAGAAGGGCCTTGGGAGTTCACCTAGTGAAACCTCTTTGGTACAGAGGCCCTAATACTCTAGGATTACAAGGATGCTCACATCAATGACAAAAATTCCAGAAGTCCAGGTAAAAGGAAGTGTTTTCTGAATGTCTTTTTTTAAAGATGTGGCTCCTAGAAAAGGGTTGAACTATTTCAGAAGCGTGGAAAAATCAGAAACTGAAAGTCTAACAGTGTTGCTTAGCTGAGTGGATCTTGAATACCACAGATACAACATTAATTAATGGTGAATCACTTTGTGGGTTACACACATTTTACATAACAGGGAACTGGCTCCCCATACCAACATGTTAAAACTAAGCAAGAAAGTTGCAGAAAAGGGCAGCAGTATTTAGAGCAATTAGTGAAGACATCCAACCAACACAATGACAGTTTTTAGACAAACATCTGGTTATTCAAGACCCTTAGCACCTGGGGAAGGGAATATCTTACAAAATCAAGTCTCTGATTCAACAACTTTCTCCTCTTCTTGGTTTAGTTCTGTTTGAATATTTAGCTTCCTCATGGCTAATATTGGGTCCCTGCAGACTTAATTTGGCAATCTTCCTCAAAAGAGATGGTAATACTAGCCCTGTGAGGTTGATAAGAAGATTAAAAAAGATAATAGAGATGTTCATGCGATGAATATTCGCAATGAAGATCCATAGAACATGCAGTACAATGTTTAGAGCAACATTCTGCATGGTAAACAGAAGGCCCTCTGATTCCTTCTCATTTTGAAGAAATAGCTTCTAAACCAGGAAGGGCAGCTATTATGAGCTAAATGTTTGTCACTCCCAAATTCATATGCTTTGAATCCTAACCCTCAATATAATGGTATTATGAGGTGAGGACTTTGGGAGGTGATTAGCTCCTGAGGGTGGAGTCTGCATGAAAAGGATTACTGCCCTCATTAAAGGGACCCCAAAGAGCTCCCTCACCCCTTCTACCATATGACACCGTAGGGAGAAGTCAACCATCTATGAACCAAGAAGCCGATTCCCCCAGACACCAAATTTGCCAGCACTTTGATCATGGATTTACCAGCCTCCAGAACTGTGACAAATAAATGTTTTATCCACACAGTCAATGGCATTTTTGTTATGGCAGCCAGAACAGACTAAGACAGCAGCACATTGATGTTTGGTTTGGTTAGGTAATGCCTTTTTTCTTTAATTTTTAAATGAGATTCCAACACAAAAATCAGAAAGGTTTTACATGAAAATTCAGGTTTCTGGTTTCTTCTAAAGGAACAGAAGAAGCTTTAGAAACACAGACCACAGCTCTAGAAACATGTTGCCTACAGGTATGAGTTTGAGAACTAGGACCTCATACTGTTCTCTTTCATCAAGTTTTGTCTCCTAGGCCTACTTTCCTGGGCTCTAAATCGTCTTCTTAGACTGGGAGAGTGAATAGGGAGTTTGTTAAAAGCTCTAACATCATCATGAATTTTGAATGGAGAAAACTGTCTTTGATTCTTAGCCAGGTGCTAGGTACATGCACTGACAAAAGATGTGCTAACAGCAAGCGTTGCTAGAAAAGATAACGCATCTTCATTATGGCTTGCTTAGCCAGTTAGCACCCAGCCAGAAAACTGCTTTCAAGGTCATTGTGTTTTATTTACCTATTGATTTGGTAGAGCCCTACTAGGCTCAGAACACCATGTTCTGTCCTACAGAACATAAAAAATTGGCAAGAAAGAGACATCATCTGGCTAACCCCTGTTCACTGTTTAAGTCTTAGTATTTTTTTAAGATTTTATTTATTTATTTATGAGAGACACAGAGAGGTAGAGACATAGGCAGAGGGAGAAGCAGACTCTCTGTGGGGAGCCCGATGTGGGACTTGATCCCAGGATCCGAGAATCACAACCTGAGCCAAAGGCAGATGCTCAACCACTGAGCCACCCAGGTCCCCCTAAGTCTTTGTATGAAAGAAAGTCCCTTCCTCCACAAAGCCCTCCCTCTTTGCTCTAACTAGGTTAGATATATACTCCTGAACTTTTCCTTTGTTACATTCCATGAACTTGATCGATGTCTGTATCTATCCCCTTCCTTCGGTTCCTTATGATGTCCTTTATTTGCTGCATCTCAGTTCCTAACACAGTACATGATATCTGGTGGGCCCTTCACAATATGCTGAAAGAAAGAATAAATGAACAATTGCATGAAAATAATGAATGAATGAATGAATGAATGACAGAAGACTTGATGTTTATGCAACTAATTGCAATAGAAGTGAGGAGTGGGGCAAATGTATTTATTGGTCAACTGGTCATTTGTTAAACATGTTAAATATCACCCCTGAATACAGAAGACTTAAATGTCCAGTGTATTAATGGCTATAATCAATTAATAGCTATAATGATTACGAGCAGATAATTAGAGTACTTTGCATGAAAGAGGCAATTGTCTCCCAATAAGGAATTCTGGTATGAAGTTCCTTATATAAATTAAGCTCCTGGAACATAATAGGTGCTCAATTCATGCCATAATAGTTCTTATGAGAGCCAAGATTTATAATATTACACCTGTTATCCTCACTGCTATACTCTCAGCACAGAATCTGCTACACAGTGTTTAATAAATACCAGGTAAATAAATTACTTAATTAGTGATGAATTAACAATATTAGCTTGAGGATAAAAGTTAGTCTGATCTCCTAAGGGTTGTTTGGATCAGCCATAAAGACCCTGAGAGTATTCTGGGATACTGAGGGTCAGTGATAGGAAGGTCAGTTTTCAGCCTGGGGAGGAGTGGAGGGCACTCCAGGATCCCAAAGGCTATGATACTTATCTAGTCTTTTTGAGGGTCATGCCCAATGCAATTGCTACAAAGGGCAGCTTATCTCTGGCAGCATAGGAAGCTGAGGGCCCCAGATAAACCCTGAGGGTGAGTGGACAGACCCAGAGGGGGCTCCTGATTAGAGTCAAACATTCTGAGATTTGCAGGGGTTTCGGGTCTGACCCAGGATATTTCAGACTTCTCCAGAGAAGAGTCTCTGGATTTCACATGAAGCTGCAGAGCTGAGAGGCTGGGAGGTGGGAGGAAGAGAGAAGAAAAGGACTGGAGATGGAGAGCAAATAATGGAAGTGCAAGTGCATGCACACACACACAGATGGGCAGGACCAGAGAAACAAGAGACCCAGAGTCAGAGCAAGAGACAGGACAGAAAACAATCAGAGGCAGAAACTCACAGAGATGCACACAGTAACAGACCCAGGAAAAGGGAGAGACAGAATAGAGGCAGAGGGGGCAGAGTCTCAGAACATTCATCCAAAGAGATGACATAAAATAGAGAGAGTCTCAGAGACACAGATGGACTAAAGAAGGAAAAACACAAAGATACAAAGAAATGTGGGAGATTAAAACAAAATAAATCACAGAGACACTGAACAAGAGGTGCACAAGGTGGAGAGAGAAGGAAAGGTAAGGATGCAGAGGAACAGAATGAGTAGGTAATCCTGTAGATCAGCTCATCTGGAACAGTTCTTTGCACTTGCCAGAGATTCTGATTCTGTAGCCCTGGGGAGGGCCTGGGCACTGTAAATTTTAAAAACTTCCCAGGTGACTCTCATGCACAGCCTGGCCTGAGAACCACCGCTTAAAACAAGGGTTTTGGTCAGTGGAAGAACAGTGTGAGAGTTACATGGGCTATTTGCTAAAAACTCTTGTCTCTTGGGCCCTTCTGGAGCTATGAATAAAATCTATGAGTGTGGGGCCCAAGAACGTGTATTTTTACATGCTTCTCTGGGGATTCTGAGGCACACTTCTGTTTGAGAAATATTGTCCTAATCTGGTGGATTGAGAGAAGTTGCACACACACACACCCTCCTCAGAGCATGCTTGGTAATGGCGTCCCCATGGACTGGGACTGGTTTCTACAAAACCTCCCTTGCCCAACCTGTCCTTATTTGTGGAAATACAAGATTCAAGGTCAGAAAACCACATCACAGCTCTGTCTCTTAAATGCTGAATGGCTCCAGACATGTCACTTAACTTCTTGGAGCTTCTTAATCAATACAGTGAAGTTAATAATCTCAGCTCTGCCTGGCCAACAGGCCCTTTTGGTAATGAAATGAGATATAAAATGTAAAAATACTTTACAAGCTGGAAAGCACTATAGTGCTATCATCATTGTCATTATTAACAGCATCATCATTATTAATAGGTGTGGCATCTTTTTCCAAGACCCATAACCAATTCTCCAACTCTGAAAATACCTGGGTGTCAAATAATTCAACTACAAATTCAAGGGCTCCTCAGGTTTGATGATTTTCTAGAATGGCTCACAGAACTCAGGAAAGTGCTATACTTATGACCACAGTTTGTTATAAAGGATACAAATAAACATTCAGATGAAAAAGTACTTAGGGGCAAGGTCCAGAAGGAGCACAGGAGCCTCTGTGTCAATGGAGTTGGGATGTCCCATTCTCCCAGCATGTAGATGTGCTCACCAACTTAGAAACTCTCCACATCTTGTTCAAAAGTGTTTATAACTTACTCTCCAGCCCTCCTCTGTTTCCCAGAGATAGGAGAAGCTGAAAGTGACCAGTCGCATCAGGAGGTTTTCTAGGGGCTCCCCGTTGAGTCACCTCATCATCATAAACTCAAATGTCTAGAAAGAGGAAGAAATTTATAAATAACAAAAAGCACCCCTATTACCCTGGAAATTCCAAGGGTTTTAGAAGCTCTGTACCAGGAACTAGGGACAAACACCAAATATATATTTTATTCTACCGCAACATGTAACAGTCACTGAGTGCCTGAAATCTTCGAAGTGCCCTGATAAACACTTCATATGCTTTAATTCATTGATTCCTTGAAATGATTTTATGACATGAAAATATTATTATTATTATTATTATTATTATTATTATGCCATTTTATGAATGAACAGAGACTCATAGAGATGTAGTATTTTGCCCAGGGTCACAATGCTGCATCCACTTACAAATAAGTAAATGACAGAGCCAGTTTCCTTATCCTCTTATATCTGAAAGGAATATCAAAGACACGTCCATATAACAATCTTTCTCTATAATGAGAACCACTAAAAGTTCAGAGAGATTAGATGCCTGACCAAGATCATAGAAAAAGTCACTGCTATATCCTATTCAAACTACTTTAAACAAATTACAGTCATGACTGACAACATGCTTGTGGATGTAGAAAATTCTAATGAATTCACACATATAAAAATCTACTAGAATAAGTGAACTTAGCAAAGTCATGAAATACAAGTCAATGTATAATTTAAATAAGTTTCATTTCTACTAGCAACATTTAAAAAAGCAAAGTTAGAAAAACAATAGAATTTACAAAAGCATCAGCAAAGATACTATTTATTTATTCCAATTATTTATTTATTCCAATAATTAGGAATAAATTTAGTGAAAAGGTACAAGATCTCTATACTGAAAACCAAAGAAGAATGCTAAAAGAAATTAAAAACCTGAATAAATGAAATGATATACCATGTTCATGAATTAAAAGACTCGATGTTGTAAAGATGCCCATTCTCCCCCAAATTGAATGCAATCCCAATCAAAATATCAGACTGAAAATTAATAAACTAATTCTAAAATTTCAGGGAAAAGCAAGAGACCTATGTAGTTTGCTAGGACTGCCATAACAAAACATTACATATTGAGTTCTAGAAGTTAGTTCAAGACTAAGATGTTGCTAGGACTGGTTCCTTGTGAGAGCTGTAAGAGAAAATCTGTTCCACATGTCTGCCCTAGCTTCTGATAGTTTGCTAGCAATCCTTGATGTTCCTTGGCTTGTAGAAATATCACCCTGATCTCTTTATATTCACATGTTCTCCCCAGGTGTATGACTGTATCTAAATTTCCCCCTTTTTAAAGGACACCAGTCATAGTGGTTTAAGATCCAACCTACATAACTCATTATAACTTAAAAACCTCTATAAAGACCCTATCTCCAAATAAGGTAACATTCTGAAGTAATGCAGGTTAGGACTTCAACATATGAATTTTGAGAGGACACATGACAACCTAGGAAAGCCAAGACAATCTTGAAGAACTTACATTACTTGGGATGCCTGGGTGGCTCAGTGGTTGGGTGTCTGCCTTCGACTCAGGGTATGATCCTGGAGTCCCGGGACCGAGTTCCACAATGGTCTCCTGCAGGGAGCCAGCTTCTCCCTCTGCCTCTGTCTCTGCCTCTCTCTGTGTGTCTCTCATGAATACATAAAATAAAAAGGTTTAAATAAATAAATAAATAAATAATAAATAAATAATAAATAAAGGAATACAAGTATCACTGGCATGGAATAAAGATTCTAGAAATAGACGCATATGCTATAGTCAATTTGTTCTCTACAAAAACACTAAAGCAATTCTATGGGAAAAGGAGTCTTTGACAAACAATACTGGAATAACTAGATACTCAAATGAAAAAAAAAAAAAAAGAATCTCAATCCCTATATCACGTATACCAAAAAATCAATTCAAGTTGACTCCTAGATCTAAACATAAGAATTAAAACTATAAAATTCCTATAAGGAAACATGGCAGAATATGTTGTAATAGCAAACTTTCTTAGGATACAGAAAGTACTAACCATAAGTTCTTTTAAAATTCATAAATTGGATGCCATAAAATTTTAAAACTTCTGTTCATTCAAAAGACACCATTAAGGAAATTAATAGGGAAGCCATAAACTAGAAGAAAATAGTCATAATACATGTATCTGATAAAGTACTTGTTTCCAGAATATAAAAAAATTCCTACAACTCAATAAAAAAAGAAAAATAGTCTAATAAAAATGGCCAGAAATCTTGAGCAGACCCTCCACAAAGGAAGATAAACAAATAACCAGTTAGTAAGTGAAAATGTATCAAATGCTACTCGTCATCAGGAAAATGCAAATTAAAACAAGACTGAAAAAACACTACGTGTCAATCAGAATGGTTTCTAGAAATCTAACCAACATAAAATGTTGGCTAAGATATAGAACAACCAAAAGTTCCAAACATTTCAAATGGAGATATAAAAATATACAACCACTTTGATGGAAGAGCTAAAGTGTTTTGTAAAATGAAACATACATCTATTCTGTAACCCAAGGAAACTAATTTTTAACAATTTCCCAAAAAAGAAAAACATATTCATACAAAGACTTGTACATGTTTTATTTATAAAAACCAGAAATTGGAAATAGCCCAGGTGTATAGTAGTAGATGAATAGGTAAATAAATCGTGTACATCCATACAATGGAACACAATACAGTCATAAGAAGGGATAAATTGCTGCTTCATTCAACCAATTGAATGACTCTCACTTGGCCACATAATGATTGGCCAAGAGAAGACAGACATAACAGAATACATACAGTAGGGTTCTATTTTATATGAAGTTCAAAAATAGGCAAAATGAATCTGTAGTGAGAGAAGTCCAAAGGAGTGATCACTTCTGAGTTGAGTATTGACTGGAAAGAGGTATGAAGGTGCCTCCTAAGATGCTGTGAATCTTCTCTATATTCACTGGAGAATGATTATATGTTTAAGACTTCTACACTTTACTTATGTTATCCCTCAATCAAAAAATTATAAATATCATGGCAAGTCTATCTCACATTTTAAAAAATAAAATGCCAGTACTTTAGCACCATATAAAATAAATACCAAAATACTGGGATGGCATGTTGGTCATGATTTCAATTATTATCCATGAAGGTGACCATGTTTGCAGGTAGCTAAGAACTGAAATGGTAACACTTGTGATTTTGTCAGGAAAGTGCAGGGTGTTGGAACCCAACCAGCTCATCAAGGCAGCAGTGGTTTCCCAAATGAGAAGAACTCACCACCCTAATTAGGAAGTGGGACATTACTAGTGCCCACCTATGGGAGGATTCAATCCATATACAAATGTGTCGCTAGGAAATGAATGCAAAGCCATGGCAGTGAGTGCTCTCCATAAATGGCAGAGCAGCAAAAGTGAAAATACTTTTAAAAATTAAATGGATGGAAGTGCCAATAAAACAGTATGGTGATTACTGACCTTGGAAGGGCCTGAATTTGGGTTTGCTGGTGCAAGATGGGGCTGGACAGGCCTGGTGCCTGTCTTCTTAGGAGCAAGGTGATCAGCCAGGTAGCAAGCAATGATAGTTTAAGGTGTCTCAGATCTCATTTAAGGAGGAAAGCAAGGACCAATTGGGTTCATTGATGCCTGCATTTACTAATTTCTATTCACTGAGCATTTACTATGCACCTGGTATACACTTTAGACAATTTATCATAACAGTTGTGGGGTTAGATTCCTTGGACTCAAATACTGGCCTGAGAGCTTATTAGTATGTACCTTGGCTAAATGACTTAAAACCTCTGTGTCTCAAATTTCTCAGTGTAAATAAGACATAATAGGGTTAAGCCTAATAAAAAATATATAATAACTGTGAGGATTATTTTATGAATGAATCCATGTAAGGAATGCTTAGAACAGTACCTACTACATACAAATGACAACTGTTTCTGTTAATGCCTCCATTTTCATGGATTGCAGATGCCCAAGCACACAGATACACATACACATGCATACACACAAAAGAAATGCAAAAGAAGTGGCCAACACATGAAATCTGTTTAATATTCATTAGTTGAGTACATAATACATGCAAACCCTCATGCTGGGAATGACTGCAGTGATGAACAGTAGATGCCCTTGAGGAGAAAAGAGTCTAGCAGAGAAGTCACAGACAAGACAAGCAATTGCAATACAATACGGTGGACAGATGTAATAATAACACAATGAGAAGAATGATAAAGCCCTCTGTAGGGAAAAGGAGGGTGGGAATGAGAAAGAAATATTAAACTGAGACTTGAAAAATTATGAGAGTTTTCTAGTTGGTTGGGGAAAGAGAATTTTAAGCAGAATGAAACAAATTTTAAGTTTAACCTAGAGGATTCCAACTCTAGCATGATAGTGTGAGCAGCTCTGCGGACCCACTTCCCTGACAGATTGGTGAAAATTATTTTAAAATTTTAAACCAAAAAATAAAAATAAAAATAAAAATAAAATAAAATAAATAAAATTTTAAACCTCTGCAAATGGTCCATACACCAAATAAAGAAACAGTTATTCAAGAAATCCTATTAAAACTAGGTAGGAAAAGTGAGGGTCAGTGGTATTTGAACTTAGACTCATGCCTTCCCTCCCCTTGCCCAGCTCAGCAGGATAGAAATTCCACTCCAAACTGGAACAGTCAAGAACGCAAGCTTCCTTCTCTCCCCAGTTCCCAGTCAGAGGGCTATCTTCCTGGAAGGAGCAGGACATCAGCATTTCTCATCTGGCTGCCAGCTACCTGTTGCTAAAGCTAGGTTCTAGTGAAATGCAGCTGAGACGCTTCTTCTGCGCAGCCTGCTAGTGGGACAGAGGCTCCACCTTGAGCATAGCACTGCTGGAAATATTGGGGTCCTGAGCACCCTGCCCTAGTTCATGATGTGGGGGAGGGGTTTCCATGGTGGGAGAGGCAAGCCAAGGAGACCTGGAACCTCCAGAACAGAGGTGTCACTCAGAGTGAAGTGCAGCATGGTCTACTCCCAATATCATAGTCACTTACTCAAAGGTCATATCCGGGGAAGAGAAGTAGACCAGAGCAAGAAGGACTCTTAGTTTCTTCCCAAAGCAACCAAGTCCACTTACAACAGTCTGAAGGTCAAGCCTAAGGTGTTTTAAAAAAAACAGTACAGGTGGCGAAAAGCTACTGGGCTTCATTGGGCTATTGATGGATTCACTGGAGGTACAGGCTAAACCATAGGCCAGCTAGTGTAGTTTTCTTTTGCGGGAGAAAAAGGAAAAGACATGTGGGAGGATTTTGTCATTACAAATTTCAAACACTGACCTCAGGAAGCATCCCTTCAAAAGAGCCCAGGTTTAATTGTATCAGTTTGTGGAGCAATTTATGCCCTAGGGCATTATTGAAACCGGCTTAAATAGAACAATTAATGGAATTGAAGATTTAGTGTGGTCAGGGAAAGAAACAAAGGCAGCTCTGCCAAAAGCACTGTCATTCTAGTGTGACTCTGGGCTTATCCCAGGCTGCCCTCTTTGATGATAAGCATCATTCACTGCAACAGGGAGGCAGACAGACTTTATTGAACTAATTCAGCCAGCCACCAAACTGGTTAAGTGAGCAAACAGCAACAAATAGTCTTGTCAACAAATAGTGCTTGGACAATTGGGTAGCCACATGCAAAAGAAGGAAGTGTGAATTACCTCTACCATACCCAAAAATTAATTCAAAATGGACCAAAATTCTACATGTCAGAGCTAATACTATAAAACTTTTAGAAGAAAAGATAAGGGTAAATCTTCACGACTTTGAATTTGGCAATGGACTTTTAGATATAATGCCAAAAGCACAAGCAACAAAAGAAAAATTTAATAAATAGAACATCAAATTCAAAACCTTTTGTGAAAGTGAAAAAACAAGCTACAGAATGAAATATAAATTGCAAAAAAGAACTTTTGTATAAAATTTAAGGCAAACGATCCTGAAATTTGTATGGAATTACAAAAGAACCCAAAAAGCCAAAGCAATCTTAAAGAAGAAAAGCAGAGTTGGAGGCATCACAATTCCAGATTTCAGGCTATATTACAAAGCTGTAGTGATTAAAACAGTGTGGTACTTGTTCAAAAGCAGACACATAGAATAGAACAAAAAACTCGAAAATGAACCCCAAACTAAATGGTCAATTAATCTTCAACAAAGGAGGAAAGAATAACCAGTGGGAAAAAGACCGTCTTTTCAACAAATGGTGCTGGGAAAACTCGACAGCAACATGCAAAAGAAAAAAACTAGACCACTTTCTGACACTATAAACACAAATAAATTTAAAATGGATTAAAGACCTAACTGAGACTTGAAACCATAAAAATTCTAGAGGAGAACACAGGTGGCAACTACTTTGACATCAGCTGTAGTAACTTTTTTCTAGATATTGTCTCCGGAGGCAAGAGAAATAAAAGCAAAAATAAACTATTGGGACTACCTCAAAATAGAATGCTTCTGCACAGTGAAGGAAACCATTAACACAACTAAAAGTCATCCTATGGAATGGGAGAAGATATTTGCAGATGACATATCTGATAAAGGGTTTCTATTCAAAATATATAAAGAACCTATAACACTCAACACCCAATAACAAATAATCCAATTAAAAATGGGGAGAAGACAGAAATAGACATTTCTCCAAAGA